TTTCACAATCCATTCTTTTTTCAAATTTTCCAAACCCAATTCTCACTTCTCAGCCCAACCCAATTTTTTTTGTGAATCTAATATTCCTATTTCCTAAACTTAATTACCCAAATTCACAATTTACAGCCCAATTTATATATAACCCTAGCTGCCTAGCAGAAAAACATTTTACTTTCAGTCCCTTTTTTGCTTGCCGCTTCTTGCAAATTCTGAATTAGGGATTTTCCATTCCTCTCTCGCCCCTCGGTTGACTTTCCTCTCCTCTAATCCTCTGCCACACTCTTCACTCATGCTCAAACTCTGCCCTCATCTCCATGGCCCATTGTGAAGTGTGAATCGGTGCTTCTGGCTTCCCTTCAGCTTTCACCTCTCACTGTGCAACTCACCGCAGCCCTTAGCCCTTACTGCCCTGCAACTCATCGCTCACCTCCAGCTGAGCTCCAAGGCTACTGCTGAGTCGTCTCAGCCAGCCTCTCACCGTAGTGGGGACTCCGAATACCCACGGGGACCTATTATTCCCTGCGGGGATGGAGAAAGAGGTAATTTTTTACCCTCCGCCAAAAATCCCCACGGGGATCCCGTAGGATGGAGATGGGGAAGGGGTCCCCGCCCCCGTGGGGACCCGTTACCATCCTTATTTAGGCATTTAACTTAAGGTTGTGTTTGACTCAAGAAAAATAATTTTATTTTAAAAAATATTTTTTTATAAATATTATCTTCTAAAATTTATTTTTTAATATTTTGAACACTTCAAAATACTTTGTAGAAAAGGTAAAAAATATTTTTTTGTTAATTGAAAGTATTTTTATCAACTCATTTTTTAAGTGGTTATCAAACATAAAAAATATAAAAAATAATTTTTTAACCGAACAAATATACTCTTAGCCAACAAAATAATGTTTCCTTACGGATAAATTCAATTTTTGAGTTGACCATGTTATGGAGATTGTGCTTTAATTGAAAAGCAATTATTTTATATTAAATTACGCAAAAGACTTTTTAAAATTAATTTATAAATTAATATTTATATTTTTTAAATATTATAATTAATTATTTAAAAAATTATAAATTAATAAAATAATAATCAAATTAAATAAAATTTATATGGGCTTACGCGCGGCTTAATTACACCCTACAATCTGGTCCAGACAAGCATCATTTCACGCCATTTTCTACGTCACCAAACCGCTAACTTCTGAGTGGACAGTCGCTCAAAATAAACGCATG